TGTGATAATTTTTGCAAAAGAAACAATTTTCAGGAAATTCTTCCACTTTCTCAGAAGGTTGAAAAGATAACAAAGGTTCTGATAGATCTTATAATAAAAATTTTATATCATTTTCTATGTTTTAATTAAATTCCAAAGAGTTAATATACTCAAGATTTTTTGACATATAACTGGCCCAGCTATTTTATTTCTACAAGGTTTATTCATAAGAAACAGTTTTGGCTGAGAATAATCAAGTGAAAAAAATCAAATTGTCTGCTATTGCAGCTATTTAGAGAATACTTACTGGGTTTTTATTTCCTTCTATATCTAGTAAATAGCAGAAATTACTGCCCAACAAGACATTTACATTGATATGCTGATAGAAATTTTCCAGAAATAATGATTTCATTAAGCCTGGCTGTGTAAATTAGAATTTTGAAATCTATACATGTTGTCTTAAGCTTTTATAAAGAAAATATTACATTAGGAGAATAATCTGCTGTTTTAAATAATGGTAGAGCAGATTGAAAATTACTAGAAGTTACACTTATCAATTTATCAGCTTTTGTCTTAACAACTTTAAAATCTGGAATTATTTTTTTGTTTGTTTTTAAAAGACTTTAAACTATTTCAATTTCAAATTATTTTACATAAATATGCAAATTTCATCTTTGATTCAAGTTCATGGTTAATAAAACTTTGTATAAACATAAGAGCATGTAACTTATGAGAAGTAGGGTAGTCTGCTAGAGTTAGATTTTTCTTCCTACAAAACTTACTTTTTTCTTCAATAGTCATCATTTCTTTTTCATAGATGAAATAGCAAGTATCAAACATTATTAGAACATTTCGACCATTACACCTTTGACCAATTCTATTTGAGCATTCAATTTGAAATGGAAAATGGATGTTTTCTGATCTTGATAATTAACAAATATTTATGTAAATAAAATTTCTAGAATTTCCTGTTAAAATCACTTATTAGATATTCTACATTCTCGAAAAGTCATTGCATCTGTACAATCTAGAGTTTGTTAGCTTAACAATGTTTTTTTTCTTTCACTATGAAATGGAAGGTGAACAATTGTTCCAAAAGTGAAACCAAAAAATGAACAAACTTTCTGAACATTATGATAATTCAAATATTTAAAAGTAAACCATTTCCCATTTGAATGATACATTTGTAATATTCCAGTAAACTGTTTTAAATGTCCTTTAGGAGGTTTTTCATTATAATAAAATATTGTTCTATTACCAAACAATCTGAAGGCTTTTGACATCAGAATAAATTTTTTGTTTAGTTCAATTCAATTGTTAAGGTATTGACTTACTATTATTAGTTATTACATCACGGCAAATGGGAGCCACTAGACTTAAATATTTCTTGACAGCATATTCCTTTGAAATTTTGCACACAAAAATATATGGTCTTAAGCAAAATGTAAAATATGGTTGCTAGAAAAATTGATGGAAAAATTGTCATTGTTTTTTTTTTCTTGTTTAGAAAGTGTCTAATGGAAAACATGCACTATTCCTTCTCATTACTAATATAGCCCTTTGGACAAGATCCCTTTTAAAAATCAGCTAATGGTATATTTCTGCTAACCATTTACTAACTCAGAACCAGTGAATGGTCTTCCATTACACAACCATTCAGGAATGTTACATAAGATACTAACATCACTTTCTACAACTTTTTTAGGGCAGCCATATTCATCAACATCCTTTGAAATCATACTACAAATAATCTTGCAAAGGCTATTAGCATTTTTCATAGAATCAGCTATTGGGTATACAGGACCAAAACTTTTAGATTCAATATAATAGGCGGACTTTAAATCTCCTTTACTGGTGATTTTATAAGGCAAATCTGTAAGTTTTTCTATTTGTTTGACTGTGAAATCTATTTTACAGAAGAAAAATCATTGTGGGGATTACTTCAATAAAAAAAATGACCTTTCATTTCCAGAAGGTGACAAAACACTCTCTTCCAAGTTCTATTATAAAAAATTTCATTAGAAAATGTAGTCTGATTTATAGTCTTTCCATTCTTGTCTAATAGAATAACTTTTTCACTGGCTTTCAGATTGTTAAAGCTAAGCCCAAATTCTGACTTTTCACACAAATGTGCAAGTTCTTTTCCAGCACCATTGGTAAAAAGGGCAAAATGGGTGTTATTTTTTATGAGCCATAGGTGATATTCACTGTAATACGATCCAAAATAATCTTTTGTGAGAGAGGAAAAAAATTGATTTGGTAAAAATAAATTTCAACTCTTTTCATATTTACATGACTCATTTTTTTTAAAGCATTTTATAAATGTTTCTCGATAGATAACAGAATGCCTTGCTGATCTTAGTAATACCAGGGGAGGGAAGGGGGGGGAAACACATTTTTTTTTAAAAATTAAATCAATTATTTAACAAAAAAATATTTACAGAATTTCAAAATGCATACTCTGAAAAATTGCTGTTAGATTATATGTATTTTTAAATTTTGAGTACAAAGTAAATGAATGTAAAAAATCATATCCAAGTTGTCTACAAATCTTATTTGATAATTTTAAAGGTAGATCTCTATATTGTAAAACTCTTTGAAAGGATTCATTTTGTAGTTGAACAAGAATCATTCCAATGTCAAAATATGTTTCTCGTTTGAAAATTTGAAGTGAAAATTTCAAATTTGAAAATACTCTCCAGTAACTTTAATTATAAAAAAAAAATATATACTATTTTATTTTGGGTGTAGAAAAAATTTTCTTAATATTTAAATACCATTCTTAAATTTTGGGTGACAAATTGGGTTAACTTCATATGCATTAGACATTGGTTTAGTTAAGAGTTTAAAATAACAACCTTCAGTATTATATGTATCTTTATTCAATTTACAACCAAATAAAACTGCCCTAGACTTTAAATGTCAAGGTCATTATTTGTGAAGAATTAAAAAGAATAAAAGAGATAATGTGCACTGAGGTGGAGAGTGGACATTTTCTCTAGTATCCAAATACAAACTCTGGCAGAGTGTTTATAGTCCATTGAATCAAGACCATTTGAGTTGTATACCTTATTGCAAATGTATGCATTTGCACTTTCAATATTGATATTTTGATCAAAAACAATTGGAATTACAAGTAGAGATTTTGTGATTAAAGAGTATTTTTGTGGGGAATTTCCGTAAATATCGCGAAAGATAATTTTCAAATCATTTCTTTTTATTACCTTCAAATCTGTAAAAAAAAAAAAATTAAAATAAAAGTAAATGAAAAATAATTTTAAAACTCAACTTCCAACTCTTCAAAACTACAACTCTGAACTGATTTTTTGAAATATTTTTGAAATTTATACACTGTTGCATTTACAGCTATGAACACCATTGATGTTTTATTAATATAGTGTGAAATAGAGCCATCTTTCAATAGAGAAAACAATGATTTCTTGCAAATTTCTTTTCTTCTATTCTCTTCTAAGTTGTACATATGATAAAGGCTTTTATCCAATTTGTAATAAAGCATATAGTTGTTGTTTTTCTGCAAAACTGTAAAAATATCTGCAAAATAGTTTAAAATGATTAACTTCAAAGGTTAGTTCTCTTCAGCCTAAGCTTACAATGGCGAATAGTTGCTTTAAAACATTTCAAAACAGATCCTTTACATTTATAAAGTTTAATTTCTGTAAATATATCTCCATTGTTTGAAATAGTCCAAATACTGCAAAATGTCCTCTTTGTATAGCCAAGTTTAACAAAGTAGTAGAATGAGTCATATCCAAATTTTTTGCAAAGATTTCTCATAGCTGTGTGGTTAGAAAATGGATTACCAACTGATTCATATTGAATGTATTTGACAGCGTATTCTCTAATCAGACTGGTTTCATTAAAAACAATATTGCCAGTGACAAACTCATCAGTTTCTTCAATTATATCCAAGAAAACACTTCCATTCATTGCACCCAACACTCTAATTAGATTAGGAAAACTTGGTAATATTAAAACTAGAGTTCGTACAATGAAACAGTGATTTTTTGTCATTTTAACTTGAAAAGTGTAGATTTTTTTCAGGTAAAGTTTCTTCTAAAATGTATGTCATGTTTGTAATTTTAATAAAACAAAAATAATAAATTTCAATAACTTTGCTTCAGTTTTAAAATATTTGAAATTGAATACTTTCTTTTAAACATTAATTTATTTCTTGTTTCATTAAAATATGACTGAAGGAAATTTGATTTTGAAAGAAATAGAAAATGGTTAGGGCTTGAGGTTGGGGTTTTTCTAAAAATAGATATTTAAATAAATGGAAAATAACAAATATAAACAATATAGTTTATTTAAAGTTGTCTGAATGTAGATTGGATTCTTATTACCAGTTAATCCATTAATAAATCCTTATGTTCATTGTCTTTTAATGGGTTGACATATATCCTTGTAGGATATAATTCAGTTGTTATTCCATACACATACACACTATGTGATGTTCACAAATACATCATTTGTAACCCAACCCTTTTCCATTATTCCTAACCCTCAAGTTTTGTAATTGTCCTTACAAATGGCATTTCGTCTAAGCACTTCATAATTTAATTTTCACTCAAGGTTTGAAAAGTTGTATTGTATCAGTCATGAACAATGTGCAGCTATCAAATCTATGAAATTGGAGGGGTTATTTCCAAAGGATTTGAAACTGTACATTGGGTGTAAAACTAACAACAAATAGCTTGTATTTTCAAAATGAAATGTATTGAGTAAAGTTGGAGAACTATTCAGCAGCTGAGTAGTAACTGACAGTTACAGAAAGCTTATATCTGATTGCCTATGATTAGTGGTGAATAATTGTCCCAATCACCTATTATTCTATAGTAGTGTTGATTTAAAACTACTTCCAAATACACACCAAACTATCTTGAAAAGTCTGAACAAATTGTTTTCTGAAAGAATGACACAACTCTATCAGAATACTTTTTTACTTTAGGAGAAGTGATCATGACACAAATGAAAAAAGAAATTTATATGAGGAAAAATGATTCTAGAATAATTTGTATTTAGTACTCTTTCAAATAAAATGAATACATTTATTGTAAAATTGTATCTGATATGTACTAGAATCAAATTTAAAATCCTGCAATATCATCTATGAATTTGTATCCATTTTGTCTGTGAAGTCTCTTTGAGTTTGTTTATTTTTTTTTAACATTTTCCTCAGGAGAGCACTTTTTCTTGCTAATAAATCCTCTTGTTAATGGCTGTTTCCTCTTTAACATCAACCTTTCCTCTGGATCTTTTTGTGCACATTCAGGAGGAGCTTTTGTTGGCATCACAGCTTGCTTTTCAATTTCTGTCAGGAGAGTTTTTGCCAGTTCTTTAACAGTTGAATTCATGCCTTTTTCTGCTGCTCTTTTTATAATTATTATATATTTCTTCTGCTTGAGTACTTTTTTACAATTCATGCTCAAAATGAGAGTTTTTAAGCACCTGATTGCTAATTCTTGTTCATCTCCAGTTAGAGCTTTTTGAACTGTGTCTGATAAAAGAGGAATATACCTAATCATGAGTATCTTATTCTCATCATTAACTGCTAGATGATTGATTGCTATAAGACTATCAGAGAGTAGACCTTTAACAGTATCAAAATGTTCAGCAGATTGTAAAGAGCTCTCTAAGTTACTTTCTAGATATAACACATTCTCTTCTTTCATCTTGATCATCTCAATTTCATCTTCATGAATAATAAGATATGATAAAATTGTTAAACATGCAGTATCAGAGGATTTTTTTGGATCATTAATTATATTTTCTTTTAGTTTACAAATTACTTCAACACATCCTAAATTTCTAATTGGTTTTCTTAAATCATCATTTAATCTTAATATATTATTTAAAATTGATAAATAACCAACAAGGAGACGCCTTCTCTCCTTTTTATTTAAATCAAATGTTTTATCTGAAACACTAGTTGATGAAAACCTCCAATTAGTTAACAACTTTTTAACAATTAGCTTTACAACACCATCATTGTAACATTTTCTGCCAAACTTTGCAGAACAGTGTGATCCATTCCAGACAATATTTAGAATGTCTCTTAAAGGTGAGAAAACAGCTTTACTATCACTTGATAGAATTGTTTCATGGGCATAAATAAATAATTTAGGTATATCCTTAACAACATCTAAATCAGACATTATCTGTTTTCTATCTTCATGCTTAAGTCGATAAGTCATAATCATGGTAAGGAAAATATCATTTCGATATTCAGATTTTTCGTCCAACCATTCATCTATTCTCATAGTTTTTGAATCTTTCATTTTCTTTTTTATTATCTTCTTTACTATCTCAATTTTCATTTCAGTAAATGGATTAAACAACAGAGATGACCGCAAACCTGATATATATTCGGGTTTTGCAAAGTTGTAAATGTCAGAGAGTGTGTTCGACGCCATTCTTGACCAAGTAGACTATAACCTCGGTAGTAGTCATGACAACCAAAATACATATAAAGCGCCCCCTAATTGACAAATCCTTGCCGTACAGATACTATTAACATTTGATTAATTATTGTTGGTTTCAAACAAAAATGTTTGTACTTTTTTCAAATTTCAGCTGGTGATAAGTATCCTCTCTGTTCTTGGACACATTTAGATCTTATTCTTTTCCCTCATTCCCTTTCAATCCTCTGCTTTAAAAGCAAAGCCATTTGTTAGCTTCAAATTCGCTCTCTTCCAATCATTTGTCACCTGAATTCTATTTGTACCAGTACTCTACTATCAGGCTTCTTCACATTTTACATTTTAGGTTAGGGTTAGTATTCAAAACATTCATTTGCACTCAGACTAATTTTACACTATGCAACTGTTGGTAATAGTCAAAAGGAGAAAATACAAGACTCTTAAGGTTCCCTGACAAACTGATTGTTTCAATATTTGAACATGTCTTAAATAAATCACTTATTTCTCTACAGTTTTCCTTATTTAAAGATTAGGTTAATGGAAAATAATATTAGCAGTCATTTCTGAAGGTTTTCTAAAGTTGATTAAACATCTGATATTTGTATAGGGCTTCTTCAGTCATTAAATACTCTAACGGACATATTAGTTTTGGAAACTGTCTTTCAGTCGAAAAAAAAGTAGACATGTAGGAAAACTGTTGAAAAGTTGCCCCAACAGAGGAAAGTTCAATTTAGAACAGAATAAAATGGAATGTCAACTGGAATATCAGGCATTTGTGAAGGACTCGGTCAGTCATCAGATAATTGAAAAAAATATCCAAAACAGAATCAATCAATCAATCAATCAATAAGATTGAAAGATTCAACCAATGTGAAGGACTTTGTTAATTCATCAAAAACAAACACTTTTGTGTGTGTGTTTTCAATTCTATTTTTTCATAAAAATCAATGATTAACAATAGACTATTGCTGCTACCAATATCACCAATATCATTAGGATTAATTCTATACTATTTTACAAGATTGATACTTCCTTCACAAGGAAATCTGAGGCTAATTTGAAATTTTAGTAAATCTGCTTCAACAGCTATTTCTTTGTTTAGCTTTATAGCCAACAATTCCAGTAGAATTTAAATCATTTTTTAAGAAGGAAAGCAATCACTGAGATTGGAATTTTTGTCTTTCAATTAAAAATAAATATCATTTTCTATTGTTTCAATAAGAAAGAAATTATATGGCAGAATACCTCGGTTTGATTGAAATTGACATAATAGATTTACTTCTAAATACTGACAAACTCTCAGCATTGATTTCATCATTCTAAATAAAAGATATCAGATGTATATACATGTATTATTTAAATAGGTAATTACACATATAAAACACATTTACTCTAAATGTGTTTGTTGCCTTAAGCGTATCATTTGTAGTGTGGAGATTGGAGATTTTGTATCAGTTGGAAAATCCAATCCAATGACATCATTTTGTATACATAAACAGGATTTTACTCCTAACACTTAGATGGATTGCCCTTAAGTACAAATCAATAGCTGTTGAACGTTTTGAGTATCATTTCTATATTCACTTATCAAAAACCTCTAGGTTGCAGTTACAACCATTCAGCATCCACATGATGGAAATGAGCTATTTTATTTCCACTTTTTTGAGTCACATTTAGCTGTAAGAAGACATCTTGGAAATAGAAAGAACAAACTGAAAATCAATGTATACAAATTGGAAAATTGTTGACAGATTGTTCTAAAATCAAAGAAAAATGTTTAATATTACAGATACTGGATTATTAAAGATAATTGATGGACTGCTTCTGCTTAGCTTGATAGATACCAAGAGTAATTGGGGAGTAATCTTTATGGATTATTTGGCCTATTATGTTAAAATGAACTAACTGATTTTTCAAAAGCTACTCCTTTGCTAACATTTTTTTAACTCATCTAAAAAATCTTGTCATTCCTGTTCCATTTTTAAATTTGTAAATTTTGTCGAAATAAGTAATGCTTTTGTTAAATATCTGAAACCACTGTACATATTTTCCAATTGCAAATTAGATTGTCAGCCATTAGTGTCATTAACCCTAACCCATCTATGTTGGACATTTTCTAATCATAAATGAGAGTTTGTCAAAAGAGGAAATTAAACTATTGTCAAACAGGGTTAGTTACTGTTGGCTAAATAAATAGTCTGTTTTTGACTCTATCTATTGCATTTCCAGAAGCAACTCTAGCAGTTTTAACACTTTGTTCTCGAAAGAATGCTTTTCCATTTATGTGTTTTACTACTTTTTTAGAGATAAAAGATCTGCCACTCCAATTATCTATTAAAGCTTCAAACTGAAAATAAGTATTTGTTTGGAAATGGCCAACAAAAGTTGAGAGAGTTTCTCTCATATTGTTTACTCTTCAAAAAGTGACAAGTAGATTCATCATTGTCAGAAAAGTAGACAATATATTGAATTTTATCACTGCCAGATATGCTCAAATTATCCAGTGTATCCAATTTTTGTAAATGGGGTTCTTCTTCCAATACTGAGTGTGATCAGTGAGTTTTTCTATACTGTTAATTAGCTAGAGGAATATTTTGTATGATGTCTAAGGTGTAGGGTATTTAGCAAATGCAAATTATCTACTTGTAATCCCTTTTATAAAATTTCCATCCATTTCATTTCTTTCATTGTTATAATCATTTGCTGAGCCATTTGTGTTTTCTTTGTGAAGAGGAGTTTTTATGAGTTGTTTGGCTCTATTGATAAACTGAAACAAATTTCCCCAACTCATTTGTTTCCACTGTTTCTTTACTATTTCTCCTGGGACATAAATGGTCATTTCTTACTTTATGTTATGGTTGAGAGATTAATATAGTAGGGACTAAAGGATCAGTTTAATGGCTGATTGGTGAATTGAATATATTGATTTTTACTGGGAACTAAAAGAAAAACAGGTTAGAGCTGTAAATAATTGTAATTTAATGAATAAGGAGGCCAAATCTCTGGGCGATGCATTGAATTGTTGTAGCATAGCTGGTAATGCAAATATCGGAAATGGATTTACGTCAATTTGTAAAGGACTTGAAAGGGTAACCAACACTTTAATGAATGTAATTGTAATTTAAATGCTGAACGGGCAAGACTATTTTGGAGAAGCCCTTGGAGTTTGCTCTTCAGTAGAAGAAGTTGCCTTATCACATAATGCAGAAATGGGAAGGAAGGACTCAGAAAATCTTCAAAGTGTCTAAAACAAGTCCATGTTGTGTCATGTAAACTAAATGATGAGCAATCAAAAGGGCTTAGGGGATAGATACTTTACACAGCAATGCTCTTCTTTAGAAACAATTCACCTATCTTATAATATGGATATAGGAAATTTAGGGTTCAGAATAATTCTTGAAGGTCTCAAGTCATCCTCAGATACATTAACAGAAATTATGATTTCTAGATGCAATTTAGTAGATTTAGATAAGAAAGATATTTTACTGAAAGTTTTCAAAATTGTTCTTTTTTAGAAACTATCCATTTATCTTTTAACAATACAATGGAAACTGGTAATAAAGCAATTTGTGAAGGACTAAAATCGTCTTCTAACAGTTTAAAATATCTCATTGTAATTTAAATGATGAACAGGCAAAGTCTTTTGGAAATGCATTTCAACTTTGTTCGTCATTGGAATACGTTAAAGTTATGTTCTTCATCGAAAAGAATTGATATATCTTTAAATATGAACTGGGAAATGAATTCAAAACTATCTGTAAAGGATTGAGATCTTCTTGACAAACTTTAAAAGAAGTCAATTCATCAACACTGTACTGCTTCTGCTTAACTTAGTTGTGTGTTTGAGAATTCTAACAGTACTGCTTCTACTCGAACCATTAAACAAAAATGTTTAATTTTAAATGATTTATTCAAAATAGATACTTAAGCAAGTAGTTATAAGAAAGTTCAATAGCAGGGTAGATAGTTTGTAGCAACTGCCAAGTTACCAAGTAGCTTTCAACCAGGAAGAGTAGAAGTTGCGGACTTCTGCTTGTTTCCAGGTTATCTTCTCAAATCAAGAGGTAGAGATAGAGAGGAGAGAGAAGGCTTTCTGTCTCTCTGACTCGAATAAAACTACAAGAGTTTATATATATTCTTTGGTTTGTCACTGATATCCAATCATCAGTTTGCAGTTGCTAAATGCTCTAGTTTATGTTTATCTTTAGTAAGAGGATGTCACAAAGTCCACTAGACATAATGGTTGTCTTTTATGAAAGTTAATTAAATTATAACTTGGCCAAAGGTTAATGTGTTTTATTAAGTGGTTTGGGAGTGGCATAAGTATTAGGCCTATCATAATAGTTTCAAGCATAATAAAAATATATTCGTAAGTTGTTCAACACGTAATTTAAATGCTGAGCAAGGAGAATGTATGATGCAAAAACATTGTGCTTTCCTAGAAAATGTTGATATATCTGTAAATCAACAGTTGAACATTGGAATTGAATCAATTGTTGAAGGATTTAAACCATCTCTAAAGACATTACAAGAAATTAATTTAACATATTGTAATTTAGGAGTAGAGGAAGAAAAACATATCTAAAACAAATATTTCCAAATTCCTTCTACACTGCTTCGTGATTTTTCAAAAACCACATTACCATAGTTAACAACCATACCATGTATGTTTGAAGGTAACTGTGACTAAAGTAGGATTTACATTCTTGTAGTTTAGGTTAATAAATGATTGATCAACTTGTGGGGAAATTTGTGGTGTGGGAAATGGATTCTTAAAATTCTGTGATGGATGTTTGTCAATTTAAAAATAGTGGGATTTTGGATTTTGTCTAAACAATTGGAAAAAAGATTGCATACTAACAGAATAGGAATATAATGATCATTTGACAAACACCTATACTATAGTTCACCTACTGATAGGAAACACTCTGTGATGTTCCATTGCAGACTACCAATTCGTTGTTTAATTCATGTACAGATCTTTTAGGATCCAAGATGATTC